GTCAGCCTGTCCTTAGAAGCTTTGAGGCTAGGCATTGACTTCTCCTCTCTAGCTATGAAAGTCCTAAATCACATCTTCTTCCAATATAAGACTGTCTCATCTACACTGAAAATCTGTTGTTTAGTGTAGCCACGTTCATGGATTATCTTAGCCAATTCTTCTGGATAACTTTGCTGTGGTTTCTACACCATAACTTGCTGCTTCACCTTATACTTTTATGCTGTGGAGACGGCTTCTTTCCTCTAACCTCATGAACCCACCTCTGCCAGCTTCCAGCTTTTCTTCTGCAGCTTCCTCCCCTCTCTCGGCCTTCAAAGAATTGAAAAGAGTTAGGGCCTTGCTCTGGATTAGGCTTTGGCTTAAGGGAATGTTTGATCTTCTACCCAGACCACTCAAACTTTCTCCATATCAGCAGTAAGGTTGTTTTCTTATCATTCATATGTTCACTGGAGTAGCACTTTTGATTTCCTTCAAGAACTTTTCCTTTGCCTTTGCAACTTGGCTGTCTGGTACATGAGGACTAGTGTTCAGCCTCCCTCAGCTTTCCACAGTCCTTCCTTAATAACCTTAATCATTTCTAGCTTTTGATTTAAAGTGAGAGACTTGTGATTCTTCATTTCACTTGAACACTTAGAAGCCACTGTAGGGTTATTAACTGGCCTAATTTCAGTACTGTGTCTCAGGGAATAGGGAAGCCCAAGGAGAGGCAGAGGGAAGATGGAATGGTCAGTGGAGCGGTTAGAACACACACAATAGTCATCGATTAAGTTCACTGTCTTATATAGATGGGGTTCGTGGCACCCCAAAACAATGAAAATAGTAACATCAAAGATCACTGATCACAGATCACCACAAAAAATATAAGCATAATGGAAAAGTCTGAAATATTGTGAGAATTACCAAAATATGACACAGAGACACGAAGTGAGCAAATGCTGTTGGAAAAATGGAACCCATAGACTTGCTTGATGCAAGGTTGCCACAAACCTTCAATCTGTAAAAAAAAAAAAAAGCACATCTGCGAAGTGCAGTAAAGCAAAGCACAATAAAACAAGGTATGCCTGTAAATTAAACTCCTCTGTTTTTAAAAAAAAAAAAAAACAGGGGGCCACACAGGCAAGGAGAGTTTGAAGTCCCAACTCACTCTTCACTTGGGCCTCTAAGGCCTCTCTGGTGTGACAGCTCTGTGGGACCACCTCAGTCCCCCCACCCCTAGTGCCCTTCTGCGCCTTCTTTGCTCACCATCTACCCATCAGCCCTGTGAAGCTCTAGGTCCAGCCTGGGCCACTCTTCTCCAAGAAGCCCACTGCAACCACTGGGGCCCACCACGGTGTTCAAAACCACTCCAGACTATTTCCCAGGTGCCAGTAAAAGCTTCCTGAAGATTAAGTGGCCTTTTTTTCTTTCCCCACCTTTTTTTTTTTTTTTTGGCGAGTGCTTAGCAGAAGAGCAGGTTCACAATAAAACCTGGGCTCACAATAAACCCGTCACTTCCCCTCTCTGTGACCTCCAAAGGCCTTCCTTGTACTCTAAGGGTAAGCCCCTTGTCCAGACCCTGTGAATCAATTATTTCTGAAAATGTTTACTGAACATGAGAGCAATACAGTGCTGTTAAGAAGGCCTCCTGGCCTGCCAGCAAGCAAAGAGGGGCCCTGGGGCAGGACTTGGCTGACCATTCTCCGGACGGGAGAAGGGGCAGCGTAGCCTCAGCCTGGGATGTCAGGGCATCTCTGGCTCGGGCCCGCAGAGCTGCCAAGTGACTCCATTCAGCTCATTTGGCACCTCATCCTTGGCAGGCCCTAGCAACAGTGAGCAAAACCATCAAAAGCACTACAAAAGGGATCCCTGCTCTGGGAGCCAGGAGAACAGAACCTTCCCCAAGGAAATGAGGTGGGAGCAGAGTATTAGGAGGGGAAGGAGATCACTGGTCAGATAAGGAATCAGAGAGATTCCAGGTCCAGGGATCAGCTTCAGCGAAGGCCCAGGCCGACTACTCTCCCAGCATGGGCAGTCACAGATACTGGCTGGTGGGATTCCCAGCAGAAGGATCCTAGGCTGCCCAGCCTGGGCTCTGAACGATCCCAGACCCGCAGCTGCCTTCTAGGTAACTAGGTAACTGATATGCCAGCAGCAGCTGCTCGCCTGTCAACTCACAGCAGTGCTGGGCACTGCAGTTTTGATCTTCAAACATGGGGGAAAGACATTCCAGAAACCAAACATGATTGTCCTACATACTTCTCCACCATTAAACAGCAAATGCAAAAGAAAGACAATCTCCAGGATCCCCACAGGCTAACCCCACGTGAAGCCATGTCAGCCTGGAGGGAGCTCTCTGCAGATGGGAAACAGATTCAGGGGACCACGGTGCTGTTATCTCCCGCTGAGGGGTGCTACAACCTCTAGAGCTCAGCTCTGGGGCATGCGCTTTGAGAGGGAAAGGCATGATGAACTAAAGCTGATCAGATGGAGGAGATTCTTAGAACCACATCAGAGGAAGGACAGCTGACGACGGCCCTAGAGATATTTCTCTTGGAGAACAGAGATGTGTGGAAGGCATGAGCTGACCTCTTGAAGAGAGAAGAAGAGAGATTATCTTGCTGTGTTGCGCCCACCCCGACCCTCTAGTCCTGCAGTTACCACATCATTGTGAAACCACCTGCTTATAAATCCTCACCCATCCTGAAAACCACAGCTCCCTGAATGGAACCTGTGCATGACTCACTTCTGAGGCACCAGCAACTAACTGGCAGCCAGGACCCAGCAAATGCTGAACTGAAAACAGAAACGACAGGAAGGCCTATTATGGCTCAAGAAAAGGAAGTGCTTTCTAACAATCCCAGTTACCTACAGCAGGCCAGGATGTTTGGGAGGAAGCATCCTATCAGAGAAGGGTCTGGAAGCAACAGAATACCCTCATGCTGGTAGGACTAAATGGCCCCCTGAGGTTTCTTCCAATTCTAGGACCCCGCCTCCTGAAGCAGTGAGGGGAGCCACAAGCAGAGGAGATACACCGACACGCCAGGCACACACATCCAGTCACTGTCCTGTAAACCCTCACAATCCCGTGAAGGAGGCACCATTATAATTCCCATTTTACAGTGAAGGAATCCGAGGCTCAAGAAGGTTCAGTAATTTGCCAAAGCCATAAAACCAGTAAGAGGTAGAAGTGAATGGCAAACCAAAACCACCAGGCTGCCCACCTGGGCTGAGAGAGAACATCTGCCCTCCTATGCACACAGTGGGCAACTCCAGCCCTTTGCAGCTGGTGGCTCTCCAAGGGCAACAATATTAACTGGCTTCATCTCCCCCTGAGGCCAAAACTTTTCAAAAGCATTTTTACATCCATAAGCCCAAGAGCCCTACGCCACCATACCCAGCTCTAAGGCAACAGAATTGGTCTAGGGCCATCTGTCCTGTGGGAGCCTAGGGGCTGCCCTCTCCTCCTAGACCCCAACCAAAACACAAGATGCTATGGGAGGGGCTTGGGGAGGCTCTCCAGAAGGAGGCAACATCTGAGCTAAGCCTTCAATGACGAACTGGACAAGGACAAGCGAGGGGGCAGTGCGGGGCAGCAGAGGGGAAAGGGCATTCCAGACAGGAGCAAAGGCGGAGAAGCAAGAAGTGTGTGGAGAATCACAAGCAGTTTGGGTTGCCAGAACATAAAACGCAAATTGAACAGTGGAAGGACACAATGATCAAAGAGATAAGCAGGGGCTGCTAAACTGCGAAGGACTTTGAATGCCAAAACCTGAACTTGATTTATCCTGAGGGCAATAAGGAGCCACCGAAGGCTTTGAGGCAGACCGGTGACAAGAGCAAACCTCTCTATTAAGGAAGATCACTGTGGTAGCCATACCAGAGGCTGAGCTGCTGGCAGTGAGACTGGAGGGCGGAAAGGCCATGTGAACTAAAGCAGGGAGAGACATGCTGGGCTCAGTACCTCAAGCCTCCTCTATCATAATTCCCTGTCGGGGCCAAACTTTCCATTCTCTGGGCCCCCAATCCAACTCTCACTGCAGGCCTGCTCTACAGGCTACTCATTTTGTGGAGTCTCCCACACAACTGTCTTTAATGATACGACTCTAGGGAGGAGTAATGTTAATCATTATATTTACTCCATGCCAGGCACTATGCTGGGTCCTTTACACAAATTACCTCAGTTGTGCAACCAACAGCCCTGGAAGAGAGGTTACTATCGGTAGCCTCGTTTTGCAAAGGATCTGAACAGACTTCTACCTGAGGGCAGAGACTGCTCGGTTCACCCCTGCCAAGGAGAGTGGGAGGGATGAGTCCCGTGTCCCGGGCTTCTACAAGGACCCCCGGGAAAACAGTGGGTGGAAAATAATGGGTGGGTCCCCTAGCCACAATCGCCGAAGAGAGGCTGGAAGTGGGAAGCCTGAGCCCAAAGGAATCAGGACAGCCCCTGCCCTCGGCAGCCTTCAGCTGCGAGGAGAGAAACGAGGGCACGGACCTGAGAGCTCCAACTGAAAAGACAGAAATAAGCCCCCAACGGAGCCGAGGCCGCAGGGAAGGGGCGGGGCTCGGACGCGGCGACCACTCCGGGGGCGGGGCTTGCACGGGGGTGGGGCTCTGTGGGCCCGACCAAGTCCGGGACCTGCGGGACCCCGTGAGGGGGCGGGTCGCGAGGGGGCGGGACTCCGAGGGGGGCGGAGCCACAGCTGTGCTTGCGACCCACAGACTCGTTCGGTTACCTCCCCACGACTGGACCCGACCCTCGTTCCATACCCTGGCTCCAGCAGGGCTGATCCGGGATCTCGATGGTGTAGTCCAGCTCAGCCGAAGCCATGGTGAAGGCGCCAGCCCTCAGCACGGGCCTCCACCGGAACTCCCGCTCGCGCGCCCGCGCCTCACCCGGGAGCCTCCCGGGTGCCGCCCAATCACCACCCACCTCTTCCGTCGCTGCCCAATCCCTGAGCGGCGCTCTGTGACCTCCAGTCTTAGCAACCGCCGAGGCTCTCTCGGAGCCTCTCCCGGCACCCCACGGCTCGGCCCTAGCAACCATGCCCCGCCCCGTTCTAGCCCTGCTTCGCAGCCACTGGCTGGCTCGCGTGATCTGGGTCAGGTATTGGTCAACCAGGACGCCGGTCGGGAAGAGTCCCCACCCTCCCGTGTAGGTAAGAGGGTCTGCGGGAGATTTGCGGTATTCTGGAAATGGGAAGGTCTCCCTTCCGCACCGTGTCTTATCCTACGGGGTGGACGGCAGTGCCCTTTGATTTACATCATCTCCTACCTCTACCATCCTTCACCAGACGCAGCTCCGAGGGCTGGAGGTAGAAAAACGTACCAAACGGCCTAGGGGACGCGTGCCAGCCCATCCTCCATCCAGTGGGTTGAGGCATATTCTTGGCTGGTGGGGTGAGTGGTAGGCAAGGGAATGGTGTCTTCAGGGGAAGACTCTAGAGAATGTTCTGTTCGTGGGGGACACAAAGGGGCTAGAGAGTACAGTTTTCTTTCATTTATCCATGTATTTAACAAGTATTTACTAAGCACCTATTATGTAGGTGAGAGCTAGTGAAGATTAAGCTTTTGGCCATGAATTCCATAAGTCTTAAAAGGAGAGGGAGAGAAACCATGCATTAACCAACTCTAATTCTGTGCGAGGGATAAATACTACAAAAGAATAAGCCCTAAGCATTTTAGGGGCTCAGAGAGTGTTGAAGGGTTGCATTTATGACAATGGGGATGTGTCTTGAGCTGGGCCTTGAAAGACTTATGGGGATATGGAGGACAAAGGACTCCTTGCAGGAGCTCAATGAGGGGAAACTGAGGGATGAGTGCCAGAAATTTTGAGTGTCTTCTGGCCAGAGGAGATACTAATGTGAGAGTAAACATGGAAGAAAAGTTAGGCCCAGACCCTAGAGAGTCTTTGATGTCACACTCAGCTTTGAGCTTATAGGTAGATGGTAAAAATTTTCCAGTGTGTTTTATACCTATGAGCGCAAGAGCTCAGACTTTATCCTGAGGACAGTGGGGAGTCATTGAAGGGCTTTAAGCAAAGGAATAAAGATCAGATTTGCATTTTAGAAAGATCAATGCAGAGAATGGATTGGGGATTGGGGATTGGGAGAAGGAGGGAGACTAGTTAAGAAGTTGTTTCAGTAATGGGGAAAGGTTATGGTGGCCTAAAGAATGGAGAAGTAGCAGGAATGAAGAGGAGGGGATGTATTCCTTAGATACTTGTGAGCTAAAAAGAACTGGACTTGATGCCTGGTAGGGCAAGTAGGAGAAATGAACAATGACTTCTAAATTCCTGGCTTGAGCAAACAGAACGAAGAGGTAGCAGGGTTTTTAGGAGAGGGTAAGTTCTGGCTCCGATGAGTTTGACATGCCACTGGAACATCCAGGTGGAAGTGTCCAGGAGGTTGGAATATGCCTGACTGGAGCTTGCAAGATAAGCCTAAACTGGAAATAAAAATGCGGTGGTCTGTGGTGCCTTATATACATCAGCCACACCAGTGGATGGATTTGTTGGGCTTCCCAGAGAGTATAAATAGGAGTAAGAAGAGAAGAAGGCCTAGGACAGAGCCCTGAGAAGCCCCCAAGTCTGAGGGTCTGCAAAGGAGGATGAACCTGCAAAGTTAATTGAGATGAAGTGTCCAGAGTGGTAAGATAGTCAGTGGTAGAATGTGGTGTTTCAGAAGCCACGGCACAAAAGTGTTGAAGGCTGATGACTAATCAAGTAGAATAAGGTCTGAAAAAAATCCAGTGGATTTAAAAACGAGGAAGTTGTTGGTGACCTTTGCAAATGCAGTTTCAGTGGAGTGATGGGAACAGAGGTCAAATTACAGTGAGTTGAGAAGCAGGTGGAAGGTGAGGAAGTGAAGACTGTACAATACACTTTCGAGATGTTTGGCTCTTTCCGAGAAAAAAGAAGGCAATAGCTGGAAGGAGACAAAGGTTTTTATTCAGATGAGAGAAGTGCTGTTGTCATGGACCCAGCAAAAGGAAAAAAGATAAAATGACAGAGAAAAGGAAATAACAGAGTACCACCCCTGGAAAAGGAATAAGGTCAGGGATCCAAAGCATTGGTGGAGAAATTCACCTAGAAAAGTGGAGGGACACTTGCATTGTGACAACAAGGAAGCATGTGAGATCTGTATATTAGTACGTTTGATGGCAGGAAGTTGAGGAAATTCTTGTTTGGTGGTTTCTGTTTTCTCTGTGAAATGTGGGCATGATGTCAGCCAGTGAGAGTGGGATTGGAGATGGTGTGCAAGGTCTGAGAAGAGCAGAGGGGGATTGAACTAGCCTCAGTGAGTGAAGAATGGGAGCAGGATGACAGGCAGCGTACAGATTTCTGGGCAGTTATGAGGTTGGTGACCATTCACTGTAGCAGCAGCGATCTGCGTGTTTGTGCGGGAGGTATTTTTCCCTCAGCAGTATTCAGGCATCTAGTGGTGGGTGCAGAGAGCTTAGTTGAATCTATCCAGGTTTGGGTTTCATCAGGCAGATGAAATGGAAGGACAGAGGACAAGGAAGTGGATGATCCTGGCAAAAGGTTGAGATGATGGAGCTTAGAACCTAAACTGCCTAAGAGGGTGTAAAAGTGTTATGGACTGGGGGTCCCAGTGAAGTTAGAGAACATTTATCTTGGAAAGACTTGAATGAGAAAGGTGTGATCAGAAAGTGGAATAATGAAGCTTGAGTAGTTCCAGGTGATGACAAGGTCCAGGGTGTAGCCATGGGAATGGGTGGCTGGAGTGAAATACAGAAGACAGTCAAGATGTTGACATGGCCAGCACCCCCTAGATGATGACAGGACTTGAGGAGGGAAAAGGATGCTTGTGAGCTAGATACCAAAGTCCTGGATGAATTAAGTACATTGTTCTGGAGTCTGTGGGCGATGATATGAATATGAGGAGGGGTAATAGTCAATACAACAGAGTGGCATGGCCCTCAAAGTAGTAAGGGTTTTTACAGGAAAGAGGTGGAATAAGGAACTGGGCTGGGCTTTGGTGAGCAGACAGAAGCGCCCCCCCCCCCCCCCCGCCAATCCTGAGATCTTTGGGGTGTAAGAGTATAAGCAGCCTCCACCAGGGAGCGCTCTGCAGAAGTGGCACCTGGGGTAGAGCCAGCTTCAGGGGCAGGCTGAGGGGAGGCAGAGCAGCTGTGGAGAAGCTAAGGGTGGAGGAGACTGCTGATTGGGAACAAAGGCCTTTGAGGGCAGAGTAAGAAGGCTAGGAAGGAAAGAGGGGTAGGAAATCAGGTCAGGGAAGGTGAAGCACAGAGCAGTATGGGAGTGAGGAGAATATGTGTAGAAAGATGATGGTTGACCTAGACAGTTAACGTTTTGTGGGGGAGAGCATGAGGGCAGGTCTGTGGAGCGGAGTTGGGGGCAGAAGTGATCTGAGAGGAAAAGTGGGGTCTGGTAGAGAGTGAGGGTAGGTCTGGGGAGAGGATGAAGGCAGAGGGCTTTGGGGGAGGAAGGTGGGAGAAAGGTGGTCTCTGGGGAGAGGATGGAGGGAAAGGCAACTGTGAGGAAAAGATGGGGCACCTAGAGTCTATAGGGAAGTGATGGGTGGCAGGAAGGATCTGTGAAGAAGGTATGAGGGGGGAGCAGAAAGGAAGGGAATCTATGAGAAGGAAGTGACCAATTGTAGCACATGTGCCCTGAGGTAGAAGTAAAGGCCAGGACACTCTCTGGCTGGGCCTGAGGTAGGAAGGAGAATATTTCTTTCTCTGTCTCTCTTCTCCCTCCCTCTCTCTTTCCAAATGGGGAGCTGAGAGTGAGGAACTGAGAGGATGGAGTCCAAAGAGAAGGCCTCTGTCCCATTCTGCTGGTGGAGCCTGCAGGAAGAGGGGACAGTGACTGCCTTGTCTCCGAGGCCATCTGGGGACAGGGAGCCAGGCTGGCAGCCCGTGCCCTGGAGGCTTCTTGCTTTGAGAAGTGTGTCTTTGATTTAGGGGAAAAAAGCCCTCTGAGAAACTTTATTTAGAAACAAGACCAAGTGACCTTTTGGTTTTTAATACCTCTCCCCACTTGTCACTAAGGACTTTTGACTTTAGTACAATAGCTGGGGTTTTTGAGATTTTGTGATTTTAGTTTCCGTGCATGAGGAAGAACCATTTGTCTGCTATAGAAATGATTTATGGATGAGTCCAGATTTATTCATCACCTCTAAAAATGGAGAGGAAATTAAAAACAAAGAGTTCACTCTGGGCTGAAGACAAAGTAGGTTTGTCGTCCTTGCAGAAGACTTTGCCAAGGTGAAAAGGCCACAAACAAACCAATTTGGACCATGGTTCCTAATCCGGATTTTAATTTCATGTGCTTTGATTTTTCAGACCATTTTCTCTCCAAGGTAAAATAATGACTATTTTAATTGGCTGCCACTTACAGAGAGATTCCAATAAGCATGATGGCATACGTATATTTTTCTCTGGCATTCCACGTATGCTCCAGTTCTTATGATCAAGCTGGTGAGGCTGACTTTTACTGCATGCTGCATGCCATGATCAGTTGACTATAAATTAAATCCTCTTTTCCAAAAGCCATTTTCCATTAGTGCTAATTTGTTTGCTTCTCATTTCCACTGATCATTAGAGTCTCTGGTTGTGAGCACCAAATTGGAAATAATTTCCTTGACATTTCAAAAAAATCTCTCCCCTTCTTGAATGCCATTTGGCTGCAGCTAAAGAACATTATGGTTTGCAGAGGAACAGTTCACTCCAATTACAATTTAACTGACCGTTCATGGCACTGAATCCCTGTCCTTAGTGTCCAGAGATGACACCGTCGCTGACATTGCTATTTCCTGTCATAGCTGTAAAATGCCTCATAGACTTTGCACTGGCCTTCTTGGATGGAGATTCTGCCACTCTGCACATGGCAGCTTTGGGAAGTTGGTAGTTTTATGGACCTACATATCATGGACATTCAGATATAACCATCCAAACAGGAACTGGCTGATTCCTTCTTCCATTCACCCAGGAAGCATTTATTAAACACCTATTTTGTGCCAGGCATTATGCCAGACCCTGGGGACACAAAGATAGGGAAGACCAACCCCTGCTCTTGAGGAACTCACACTCCAGTGGGAGGGAGGGTTATGTTTTACACAGAGTAGGGGATGAGGTGGCCTAGGTGGGGCCACAGAACCGACAGCCCATTGTT